ATATATATATTACGATCAAGCCCTTGTGTTGCTTTGTGCATAATTAGAAACAGATACTTATTCTAAGTGAGTGGTTAATTTTGCTTTGAAATAAACATGATGCTATTTCCTGCTTGAACATGAATGATTAATTTCTGGAGAATTTCTGGAGTGTGATTCTTCCAATAATAAAAAAAAACGACTGACGTCAAAGTGACAAAAAGTATGAAAAAGCGTCAGTCTAAAGAACGCAATTTATTCTACCTTGTCATTATGTACTCTGGTTCATTGTAGTAGTGACACATGAGAAGTTTGCGATTCTATTAAGAAAGCAGCATACTGAATAAATCTTTGAATTGAGGAAGCGTGGAGCAAAATGCTATTTCTTAAGCAATCTCGCGATCAACTATGTGAGAGATATAAAAAGCTTCACTGTAGCGAAAAGAGTCAAACATATCGTACATCCATGCTATCAGCTATGTACAAAAGTTTCGATTCTCTGTAGATTATAACCTCTTGAATATTTATAAATTTTAATCCAATGTCACTCGAATACTTAATTGATGAACATGTTCTTCTGATGTGAAAAGTCTTAATGCTCTAAATACATTGAGACATGTGCAAATTTCCAAAGATATTTAGTTAATCATTTAAAGTTAGATTTTTTCACTGTCATAGACTGCAGTGCCTTTCAGCAACAAGTATTCCTGAGTGTCATTCAACATATTTAGAGCTTTGTCATTACAATGTTCCTTCTCTTTATGTTATCAGGAAGTCCAGTTGAGACTGAAAAAAACCGAAGACGGTTAAGTGCTGAGGAAAAAAAAAATGCTCAACTCAAATATTTATTTTCCTGCACTTACAAAGCTATGAAAAATATTATAATGTTGACTTTTATATTGCTGCTAAGTTTAATTATTTAGATTTGTATGTACCACTTGACATTCCATTCGAAACTGTATAAGTTCGTATAGGGAAAGAAAGAGGTTTGTTATTCGAAATATGTTCAGACATTTGCTATAACACCAGCACCCAGCACGAGTGCCGTAAATGAGGTTGTGTGATGGGGTCTCCTTTGAAAAGCTTAATGTTTTAGTTACCTCACAATGATATTGTTTTTCTTTTCATAATTAATCTAAAACATAACTTATTTTCTACGTGCTTTAATCAAACAAGATTAGTATAGTATCATTCTCTTACAGTACATGGATCACATAAGACCTTATGGCTTTGTTCAGATTATTCGAAGCAATTAGTGAGCAGGATAATCAAGTTAATGGGTCGAAACGTGTCAGGCTGTACAAGCAAAAGCTCTTTACCCAACCAAATTAATCTATTTAATTTTATACTCCAGTGACAATTGTGTCTACTTCTATGGTGATTTAATTCGGGTTTGAAAGTTAAAACGGGCGTATCTCCATGTTTCTAAGAGAACTGAGCAAAGATAAAATCGAAGCAATATTAAAGCTATAAAGTTTCAATTTGTGTAAATAGTGAAATTTGAAGGCGGAATAGGAAGGGTGGTATTAGCAATAGGAAAAAGGTCTTAAATTACACCGCCAATATGACTGGTGGCTCTAACACTTAAATTGGTAACTTATTTTTACCTACGGAATTTTTTCACTTTTAGTACTTCTTATATTTCGTACACAATTGCTAGTTGTTATATAAAATACATACTTGCCAAGCGTGTTTCTTAAACGTTATTTTTATACGTGATAAAAATGTGTAACTTAACCTACAGTGTTTCAATAAACTATAGTTTCTCCTGTTAAAACCCCACAAAGACCTTTTTTAAACTGCTGGCCATTCAGATATATATACGAAAGAATTGTCTGAAAGTTAATACAATTAAATAGTTTATTTTAATTTTATTTGAATGACTAAATTTTATTTAACAAGCATTTCTCTGTTTTATAGAATGTAGAATATGTATTTTATCTTATAGTATTTCCTTATATTTTAATATCTGTTGTTTATATAATACAATACTTTCAAAATTACAACTAAAATAATGAGTACCCAATAACATCAAAAATATATTGTATAATTGAGCTTTCTTTTCATATTATTAACAATAAACAGTATTTTCATATCTCTAATCATTTTAGTGTAAACCATGGCATTTTTCATCATTTATAACATTGTTATCTTTCGCTCTCCATTGTTGTTTTGAAAACATTAAAATATAAACGGAAACAATATGGATAATCATTGAATTTTATAACGTGTAGAAAACAACAAGTTAAGTGAAATAAAATATGTACCTCAATTTCAGTTAATTATTGTTATTGTGATAATTTGTATTTGTAAGTCTTTTTTCAATTAATACATTTGTAGCTTTTGCTGTTTTTATAATTCTATAAACAGAACACTATTTGACTGAAACAAAACATAATAAATAATATTTCAAATGTATTGTCTATATTTTCGAGCATCTGTGTTTTATTTCCCTTTCGGTGCAAATTTGAAACGTATATGATTATTGTAACATATATTTATTTATTATGGATTAAGAAGCTCATGAAATTAAATATCCATTCTTTGGGAATATGTAATGATGAAGTACATAATTTGACGGATGATAAAATTAACATCACAGGCTTAAGTACTTTTATTCCTGTTGTAAGTGTTATAAGTGTAACAATTGATCACACTATTCAGAAAGAGTAGCCTCATAGGTGGTGGATAGTACTGATTGGTTGCCTTCTCTCTTTGGTCAATAGTTCCAAATTAAATATGAACTATGCCTGAAACTTAGGTGTCCATGTGTTGCATGAAAGGCAGTTCATAATGAAGTAACATTCCATAAATATCTGTGTTAGCTGTCCTTAATTTTGAAATAATAGCTTATAGAGGGAAAGCAATTAGTCAACACCACCCATCGTCAGTTTGTGGGCTACTCTAATCGAATAGTGGATTTGACTGCCACTCTTTTAACACATCCATAACCCTCAAAGTTCAGAGTCAGGATTTTCTTTGGCGGTAAGGGGGGCTCGAAAGACAGGCTCTCGTATTCACAGTCTGACACATTAATCGCTAGTCCGTGCTCAGCTCTGCATGATGAGAAACTGATTATTTATTTTCATGTTTTCAAGGCATACGATAACTGGTTAATTGAACGAAAGCTCTTTTTTTTCTCTTTCAAAACAATAGATAAGTGGACTATTTTACTTCTTAATCAATCGTCACTTTCTTTAAACATAAAAAATCGTGTTAATGGATGTTAGTTTTTGTATCAATAATATATCTATAAATTCGTCACACATTTTTGAGGTTGAAAATGACACTGATAAGTGATTTAGTATTTTGCCAGTAGTTCTTTAAAATATAACTTATTAAAAGCTAGAAACAGGGTTTCGATACCCGTTGTGGGCAGAGCACAAATAGCCCATTGTGTAGCTTTGTGCTTAACTTCAAATAAACAAACAATAAAAAAATTATTAAACACATTCTTTAAGTGTTACAATGTAAAATGAAAAAACAAACACTTGCGTTAAAATAAAACATAAATCGGGTATTTTAATGAATACAAACACAAATTGAGCTAAAAACAAAACAATCATTGTGAGCTAACAAAACAGAAAATAAATGTTTTGGCAGATTAACAATCTTTGTTGTGAATTTTATACAGTCGATATAAACATAATGAAAATATAAATTTTACAAAGCAAAGATATTTTGAAATAAGTAAGCTTTGATTTGAAAACCACAAGCCATTTATGTGTTTATATGACTACAACATTCGGTTGTGTTATACTGTATTTCATACAAGTCTGCGTTTGAGGAACACGGTTTATGTTGTTGTGAAATAGCACAATGTTGTGTTAATTTACAACAACATTACTTTTGCAGCGTATATCGAAGGTGGAATGATTATTGCCTAGACTAGTGTACTGTTATGGTTTATTACTAAAAAGGTAAGTTAGGTTTTATGTAACACATAACAATTCACAGCATAACTAACATTTCAATAGTATAGCTAAAATCAGCTAATTGCTAAATAACATATATGAAGCTAATTTGTAAAACAAATATTATTTCTTAAAAATTTATTATTTATATAGTAAATTCTGGACAAGTTTTATAACATGTAACCCAAGAAAATTATTAATTAGAAAATCAGAATTGTAAAATAACTAAGTCAAAATGTCTTACAACTTACATTGAAATGAAACACATGTTTAGTTTAAAAATCAGTCGAAATGTATAACTGAGTTTTTATTGTATCCGTTTGTTAATGCTTTCTTGTATATTTGTGCGGAATCTCATATATTTGTATTAATGTCTTTTAGTAAACAAATTTAAGCCATTTATATAAGAAAATTAAAAAAAAGCCCCATAAACTGACAAAAAAAAATCACCATATACATTTTCAAAATTGGATTAATGGAGTGAATATGGTTAGCTATACAATTAATATATTAAAATACTGCTTAAGCTAGATTGTGGCTGTAAAGTTTCCAAATCAGACTATTTTATGAATGAACAAGTAAATGAAAAGCAATAGTTCATTATATGTTTATATAGATTTACTGTAATCAAAATGTTTATAGTTATTGATATTTACGCTCTATGAACTTTATATTAATGTATTTATTTATTCCACATAGATAAGTTATTTTTATGATTTCTCTGAGAAGTGTGAAACCCGCTTTTTAAGTTAGAAATCGTAATAATCCAACAGGATATCCATCTACTATGTCCCTTTTATATATACTTATCTATATATCCACACGTGCAGTTTATGTGTGTGTAGCCTGTATTTTTTACGAAATCATATATCTTAAATAGCACATACGATTTGTTTTAAATGAAACTTGATTATGAACTGCTTCTTCTACACAAAGTAATATAATGATGATCTGAGAAATAAATATGAGAGTTTTAAGATAGTATAAGATGGAAAATTCTTTATTTTCTCTTCATGATAAATATAGCCAAATTGTTTTATTTATCCAAGAATAATTACCATTTACAGTACCTATAATTTAACTTTCTATTTTATTTTTTCTTGTTAGGTGCTATTTTTACCGAAGACACTGTAGAACTGGAAACTGCTTTTAAATACGCTGTATATCTCCACAATAACAATGCTACACACGCTCGTTTCAGGATAAAACCACGTGTTGATGTTGTCAAGAACGATGACCCCTTTGAGATTTCCCAGAAACGTAAGTACGCTGTAGTAAGTAGCAATGGTTTTAGTAAAATTAGAATATATATATATATATATATATAGAACCCTATACAATTATTGGTTGTCAGAGCTCATTGAACCCTTTCTTGAAATTGTATTATCTAGCAAACGTAATATGAGTTTACAGTCATAATTTTTTTTCATAATATATCAGCCAGATAGTTTTTAAATAAAGTTTCGAAATAAAATTATTTCTAGTGCCGTGAATCTATTACATCACAAACAAACATGCTATCTATTATCACAGATGTATAGGCGGGTTAGGTTTTCTACTTACACACCGACAAAGTCTCTAGTTACACATCGGTATATCACAGATTAATATTTTATTTCAGGTCATCCTGAGTGCGTTTTCTAAGTAGTATCCTTGAAAACATAAGCAATATTGAGGTAGGATAAGCAGCTTAATAAGTTCCCTAAAAGCAGAAAAGTAATTACAGTGGTTATCAATCTCTATTGATAAACTGCTGTGTTCGCTGATAATGATAACCTCAATTTTCACGTCAAGTTACAACTACGTTACTTGGATTACCTGTATAGTTCAACCAACAGTAATATACTAGAAAAACAATGGTTTATGAATCTTCTGTCTATGGCACTCATTGTGGTAAAAATGCAAACATCTATTGGAAATTGTATTGCTTTTTCACACACTTTCATATTTCTATAAACATTTATGGGGTATGGCATTGTAGCCGTTTCTGAAAAGGGCCTAATAAACCAGTTAATTTCGGATCTGTATAAAATATCGGTATAGAAGGAGCAACTACAAGAGCATTAAAGTAAAAGTACGATGAAGAAACGTAAGGAAGGGTATGTAGGAGAGAGGAAACGCATTTATTTTCACAAAATAAAACATCAGCAATAGATTAAAAATATTTCAACCAACCAATAGAAAATAAAGTACAAAGAGTGTAAAGTGAAAGAAAGAGGGGAGCGAGAGGATAAATATATAGTTCAACCATTTCAATTAATTCTAAATAAATCAAGAGTATTCGCGAGGATAACTGTTTTCGGTTAAGCTTATGCAACGCATAAGATTAGGAGAAACATCTGTCAAAATAAGAAACACCCTTCCTGATATAGTTACACCAAATTATACTTCGTGTTAAAATCCATATAAAACAATAAGAAATGAAGAATGTCATACAATATGATAACTAAATTCTATCCTCTAAATTCTAACCATTCATTCCATCGTCAGACAGAAATATTTAAATATATGCACTTAGCTTAAGGTAAATCATGAATAACATTTGGTTGTACACACTCAGAGCTACCTGTACACACCAACTATAGTTTACAAATCAAATCAACTGCGTTACCATTTTGGTCGAACGTTCTTTTAATTCGGTAGCTTTCATCATCCATTTCTCACGTATTAAACAAATGTAACAAAATCAGTGTCAGTAAAAGGGTAATTAGCAATTTTGTGTAAAAATAGTAAAAGAAGTATAGTCAGAATTTAATTATAAATATTTATTAATCTGATACCCATTCTGTAAATATCTAGAAAGGTCATGTACATTGTATTAAAACGATCCTGGAAAATCATCACGTCGTTACACTCCGTGTCGTCACGTCCGGTTATGGTCTGTCTGATGACCGTGCATATTTACAATAGCTCTGTAGCGAAGTTTTCAACCCAAAATAGTCTGTCATGTCCAAATCACACCACTCCTCCCAGGTGGCTTTCCATAATCCATGTAGTTTACGAGGGCGACAATTTCCTATTACCCGTTTCAATAGTCTGATCGCACAGAAATCCAGCGACTTGAATAATGTGTCTTAGTATGAAATAGCTTTAATTCCTGTTTCAACCTTTAGGTGCTTGGGGTATGCCAAACTAGAACGGATATATTGTGGAGCAGTTTGTGTACACGGAACTTGGGTCGATTTTTTTTTTTTCAAAATGAAAATCATTCTTTATTATTTGGCGTACTGTTACTTAGGTAATGTCACACGTGTACGGCTTTTTCCACTGACCTTTATATTCGTGGAATTTCCAATTGTTATAAGGCGCCACACTGTAGTTACCAGGCTGTGACACGACTTTTTGTATTTCTCTTTCTGTATGGTCCTGGTGTCCCAAATGAGTCTATATTTCTTTCTTGTTCAATATCATTAAGTACAAGAGATATCCCTGTCTTAGAAATTCTAGATCCCGGATCTTAATACATCTTTGTGATCTGAGTGTAGGAATATTTTGCGTAGGAATATAGTTCTGATACATACCTTATAACATACCTTATAACAGCTGTATTTGTCACGTGACTTTCTGATTTATATGTTAAAAGTCGTTTTAATACAACACTCTGTATAAATTTAACTATGGTGTAGAAGCTTTGAAAATTACTCAAAATATAGTATTTATATTTTAAGGTATTTTTCTTTTGTGTTTGTCATATACACAATCCATCAAATACGTTGCTTGTAAACACAAAAACACAGGTTTTCTTTGCTGTCTTGCTGTCGGCCAAAATACAAAAGATGTTACGGATGATGAAGCCTTCTTTAAACAAATTTACCAGCACAAGCGAGTCCGAATTTAGCTCCTTTCTTCATTTGTAATGTCCAACTCTTATAAATACATCAATCTCAAAATCGCCATAAGACTGTGAATTTAATCTGGATCGTGCTACTTAGTATACTCGTGTTTAAAATCTACATCACATAATAACAGTTCTTTAACTATTGTCCTCAGTGGCTCATCCGTACGCTTACGGATTTGTATCGCTAAAATCCAGGGTTCTATTCACTGCGGTGGACAGATGCCAGATAGTCCATTCTGTAACTTTGCGTTAAAACATGCAAACAAACAAACACGTCTTATTTATTGGTTTACACAAATAACAAATATCAAAGATAAAAAAACACACAAAACACTTAATCCATCATATACTATGATGGTGTTGGTGACTGTAGAAAGGTGACGATTATCAACCACTCATGAAATATCAAATATGAAAAATACAAAACATGAAGAGAAAATTACATCTTAGGAGGTTGCTATATGTACAGCGAAATATTTCGAACAATGGGAAGTCCGGGTTATATTAGTTATCAAGCTGAGGTGAATTATTTATTCCTTCCTAATTTTGTAGCGAATTAAGAATTTACAATCATTGATGCCCATAGAGTATATTCACAAAACAACAATTAATAATTTACCTGGATATTTTACTAACAAAACATTCCACTTTTGTCATTTTCAGGAAGATTACGTTTTATACTTTAAAATCTTCTATGACTCTGGATCATGGTGAGTTTACAGCTTTATTCAAGAAATATAGTATGACTTTACATAAATATTTCTGATACCAAACATCAAGGTTTAAAACTCAAGTAACTCATTAGTTACACTTTTTACGATGTTTTGCTGTGCGACTGCCCACCAGTCTTTCTGAGAATATACATAGAAACTTAAGATAATCGTATTTCAAGGACCATTTCCTATAACTCATTACATAATGTTACAAATATGAAGTCCCACGATGGATCAGCGGTAACTTACGGACTTACAACGCTAAAACCAGGTGTTCAATTAATCGCGGTAAACACAGCATGTAGCCCAATGTAGCTATGCTATAAAACAAACAAACAAACAGAACAAATATTAAAAGCTTAAAATTGCATTTGTATATGACAGCATTCAATATTTCAGAATACGACAAATTCTGCTGTTTGCATAATTTTATTGGTTATATGTAAATTATTAATGATATTCCATATTACGTCAAATTAATTGACAAAATTTACCTTTGAAAATAACAAAACTGTCATAATATTTTTTTGATAAAAGCCTCAAAAACCGATGAAATATTTATTAGTATAAATTGTATATGTTTACGTTTTTCAACAAGCGCATACTTCATGTTAATAGGAAGATGCAATAGTTATTTTTTCTTTGAAATTGTTTCGCAAATGGCTCATCTTACTGGTGTTTTCAGTGTTACTAAAACATATTTCATGCACTGGTATCGCACTTCATGTGCGATATTATTAAACCAGTTTCCTAACTGATTTAGTAATATTTTAACTGATTACAGTGAGAACCCATTCGTTTCCATCTTTCATGCCTCCCAGTGGCACAGCGATATGATTGCGGACTTACAAAACGGGTTTCAATACCCGTAGTGGGCAAAGCACAGATAGCCTACTTTGTAGCTTTGTGCTTAAACTACAGACAAACTAATCCATCTTTCATATTATCCAAAACTTCATTATTAACACCTGTCATACAAGCCATCCCAGCATCTTTTATTTGTGATCGTCGAATAGTCAACATGGGGGGGGGTCTTTCCGAAAATATGATTTAGTGTTATTTCGATAGATCTCGATGAATGAAGCTCGGCCAAACTTCTAAGACGAAAATAAACTAAGTATTGATGAAGATATGACATGGTGAAATCTCTATGGATTATACTATGGTGGTACCATACTGGGCATTATACCATCCTTTTCATTTTTACTCTTCATTGCAAAAACGGCATTTTGATTTGAGAATCGGATGGGACATCGTTTTGTAATGCATCGTGCATCCACCTCAACTTCAACACTGCATCTTTGGACTTTACCGTGCCGTTTGTTTCACAAAATATTGAAACTAATTATTTCTTGTGTATGATTCTATTCCCCATTTATGAAGATAATGATAATATTGTGCTTGTTTTTTCATGTTTCTCTATCAAAGCAGCAGTCAATTGACGAATCTCCGATTCAGCTGCTATGTCATATCGATTGGGATATCTTTGAATAAGTTCTTCCCTCATCCAACCTGAACCCATGGTTTAGCTTAATCGCTAAACTATCATATTCACAACCACATCTAAAACATTTCGAGCATGTTTCATTGCTTCAACAAGTTAACTTATCCATGTTTGCTCTCATGGTCTAGGGTCAGGTCATGGTCCAATCACGGATCTGGTCTAGCGACCTAGATCTCGAAAATGGTGGCAAACGTCTTCTCGTTCT